TGTATGCCTATGGGTCGTAAGGCTCCCGGAATAAACTTGAATTGAATTGAATTGATAGTCAACCGCATTCGCATTTCCAATATTGTACATACATATTCCTTCACACGTATATGTAAATGTCGCCCCAAGCCAACCAATCGAATTATCTTAATATCTACTGATCACATATCTGACGATTTTACACAGTGGTAAGTGGGCACCTCGAGGCATCACCACTGACCAAAACCAAAACCCACAGTATACTTATTCGTAAATAAACATTTATGAAAACCACAATTGAGAGCAGTCACCAACAGGACTTAACCTTTATTCATTACAATGTATACAATGTAGCTTTTTAACTCATTGTACATTTTTTAACTCACTATCGTCAATTGTATAGTAATTTAACTCATTGTAAAGTTTGTAAGTCATTTTAATTAAATGTACAATTATTTAACTCATTTTATACCCTAAACTCATTTTCATTAAGTGTATAGTTATTTAAGGAGGCTCCACCCTTTTGCCATTATCCAGCAAAATTCAATGAAAGTTTCACATAAAAGTTATGTCACTATGTAGAGATGATTTTATGACAATCTAAGCATTCCGATAAACTAGGGATTTTTTGTAAAAAAAACCCCGAAAAAATGATTTTTTGTCAAATTTATCACTTTCACATTTTTTGAATGTGTGGCATTGTTCAAAACTATTACAACAATAAAATAATGAGAAGAAGCATTGCTAATCAACCCTACAAATAATTTATTTATCATAAACTATCTTTAACACGTTACCCAAAGATAATTTTTATGAAAATGTAATGATACAAGCTAAAAGCAAACATGACACATAATCTCATACAAAAAAAAAGTGAAAAATTGAACCAAATGCACACAAAGTCTGAATAATTCCTTTATTTTACATTTTACAATCATTTTGATTCTGATGAGAGTTGTCTGCCTTGAAAAAAATTGGAACTTTTTGCAGAGGGATAAAATTTATACAATGGCAGTTACTTTTTTTACTATACCAAAAACGACGGAAATAAATTAATTCATAATAATAAAATTGTCAATTTACTGTTCTTTTATAGATCAAAATTACTCTCAATCACTTACACTTTGGACATCATTCCATAGCCCGCGTACGCCTGGTATATTTACATGTTAGGTACATTCTAACCATAGGCTTCAGCATGGTAGCATTTAAAGGACTCACACAACTAAATCAGTTACTATATGTTATTACCAAACATTTTAGCCAATAACTTTAATTTTGCAGTTCAAAATTATTGACAACTGTCTAGATTCACGAATACATACCTTGCAAAGGCTACAAAATGACTTTTTTGGTAGGTTTAGTGGCATTTTGGAGTGTCACAGCGCCAAAAGGTTGACAACCGGAAGTTTACAAGCAAAACCGGTTACCCAAAACAGAAACGCCCCCAGACATTTTGCCCCTGTGCAAATCCGCACACAGACATGGAAATATATCAAAATTATATATTTATCAAAAGTTAAATACCTAAACATTTGTTTTAACTAAAAAATCTGTCATCAGTCCCTTATTAAACTCCTTCAGTGGCCCAGTAATTAGCCGGAACTTATTTCAGATAGGAACTACAAACACATGAAACACTTGCTGATTGGCTCATTTAATTGTGTGAGTCCTTAAGGTCATAGGAGTGTATTGATAAACGGAAATAGGAAGTGTATCCCTAGTTGAAAATCCAATGTAGGGAGACAGTATCACAATTTCCGCATATTCTGATGTTTGATATTAAACTGATAAATATTGCATGTTTATTATTGACAGAACAGTGTGTTCTCTCAATATTAAAGTATTTCAAAGCAATCCAGGCATTAATTCATATTTTTTTTATCAATGAGTCACATGTGTCCATTTTTCTGTACTTCAGGAACCCGGCTACCTATTTCACTACTGTGAAGTTTTTCAAGAAAGATAACTCTTTACATGCAATTACTATATGTACATGGTTTTATTGTAAAATGTCAATTTTTAAACGTTTATAGATAATTAATTTTTACACAATTTCAGCATTTATTAAATTGATATACATTAATTCAATACTAATCTATGTCAGTATCATTTTTACTGACATTGTTTTGCCTAAAATCGTATCTTTCATTTTTTTTTCAAAACTCACTCCTTTTTACATAAATTTTCATTTCAAATCCTTTAAATTCTGACAACCTATATTTTTTTTGTGGCAGAAAATTTTCTTTACTTCAACGCAATATAACTACTTGTCCATTACCGAGTAAAATGGTAAAGTTTGGTGGAAATAAAATGATAAGTTATGAAGAAAAACCAAGTTATAGCCCCTGATGTACATGTGCTATTCAGAGTCAGCACCAAACAATTCTCATTTCACTTACTTAACATCAACCTCTAACACACCAAGTTAGCACATACTCAGCAATTTCATATTTTGCACACAAATTTATTACCCATACCACTCACATATTTTTGAAAAGAAATCTTGGTGACTCTGTTTCTGTAATTTTTACAGTGTCTTAAATAATCAAATACTTAATTTGATTAAATTTGATAGAATTTTGACAATTTAACACACTTAGAATTCACACAAAACTCCAAAATTCTACACAAAACATGAGTCATAAAAGGTTATCAGATATCCATCTCAACTGATCAGCTATCAATGTCAAACACAGCTAATAGAGTTTCAGTATTAAAATATTGTTTCTTATATACACCCAATAATACAAACAAAGCTTTTCTTCCTTGGTAAGATTTTTTTTTCTTTATTTGTTTAAATTTCCCATTATAATTCAATAAAACTCCAAGAAAGTTGAATTCGTTCACTTTCTATATACTTTCTTCGTATTCCCAATGTTCATTGCCTTTTGAAGTAGTAATTTAACAAAGGGTCCAGCATCTTCTGCAAACCTTGAAGTGTTTCGGCAAAGATAACCGTATCAGCAGCATACATAGGTAAGACTATGTTAATAAGTTGTCAGTCAATCGAAAGGCAGCTGTCCTCTATAAATGCATTTCAAAATCGTTCACATACAATGAAAATAATAGAAAGGACAATTTTTTTTTTGAAAAGTCCAATCTTCCAGTCGAAAAATTCAGAGCATAAGCCATTTTTTTTTTTTTTTACATAGCATCTTACTGTTTTATACAGTGAGATGATAATGTTTAATATTTTACCTTCAATATCTTCTTTGATCCACTTGTACAATAAATTCTGTCGATTGATCAGGTCTAAAGCTTTGGTATAGTCAATGTAGTTATCAGGGTTACTTGGGTCACCTTTCTCAAATACTGGCACTATAGTTAAACTGTCCACAAACGAGGATGAACACTTGATTTAAACATTTAGTTGAAAAGGTTTTAAAAAACCCTGCAGAGAAACGGATTAAATATAGATTAACGGATTGTGAATGGGAATGTTATCATAACGTTTCATATAATCATTAATACTTTCATCAAGTTTTAGTTCAGGGGATTCAAAATGCAGAAGTGTTTTTTTTAAAATTCTTCTAAAGATATCTTCTGAGTGTTAGCCGACATCTTCCTTTTTCTGAAGTGCTTGTAAACCCGTTTAGAGTCATATTTTCTCAGATATTATAACATTTTTCCCTGTTGAAGCTTTCATTCAGATTTTAACTTAATTTCAAGGTTTTTTTGATAGTAAATCTACATCTGATGAGGTTTTCCCGATTTTCAACTGATTTATTTGAATTAAAAGTAGCGAGAGCAATCTTGCATTCTCTGAACCGTTGCTTACATTGACCATTGAACCAAGGCTTACCTTCTATCGCCGTCGCCTATCTCTGATACGTTCTGTAACAGTTTTACAACAAAATGGTGATCTTACAACGTTATTCGCTAAGATCCGGGTCATTACATAGTTCTAATTACTCAGCAGAATTAGCTATCAGTATTTCTGTGATCGACTAATTTTCGTTCTTTTGGTTCTACAACAACGGAGTTCTAATTACTCAGCAGAATAAGCTAACAGCACTTTTGGTTCTACATCAACAGGTTCTTTCACGGAGGGAAACAACGGAGGTAATGAGAACGAAACTGGAAAGTGATCTGAAAAAAAATAAAAACCCCAGACTCAAACTGTGCTATGGTCTTCAATAAAGTATCAGGGACTTAAACATAATCAATAAGACTGGCTCCATTGTTACTGAAAAACGAATTTGAGGGAAAATACTGCCATACTCGCAAGTTAGCTTTTCCAGTGATGCGGTATGACCCGGGACCCCTTTCATTAGTTCAGCAACGTCGAGTGTGGTCAGTAGATGGATTTGCATGGACATTTTGATTACGAACGATTTCATTTATTGATTAGCGGTAAAACAGTGTATTTATGATATCAGTATATGTAAATAAGAGGCATTTCGTCTTATTTCAATCAGCAATGTGTACATTATATTCAAAGTTTACTACAAGTGTTAATTTTTAAAGAATGTATACACATTTTGCTGATTCATGTAGTATAATACGACGAAGACATGTATTGTGCATTAATTTATATCTATATAGGCATTTGAGTTACGGTCCCACTACATCTCAGAAAAACAGTTTTACCTCGCTCCGCTTTTCGGTTAAGATAAAGTACCCTAAACACTCCCGCGTGGACTACCCACTGCTTTCATAGTTTGAGTGAAACAATTACTTATGTTTCCAACAGAATAGATTTATGAGGCCGTATGCTCATAATTATGGTAAAACGCCCACTGGTACCGCTCGGTCAGTCGTATACCGGATCTGGTGTTAGCACAGGGACCTGCCATTTATTATTATATAGTAGTTATATTTGCACATACGTGTATATACTGGTGTCTAGAGTACTATTAAACAAAGGGCTCCAACTGATACACTATATACGTTATCATTAGAGAGGTATTGTCCTCAACTGCTGATCTTAACCGTTAAAACACCTATTAGTACCTCCCCTAAATAAAGATAGGGTTAAATATTTTATAGTAACTAATTCACACGTCCCTATGGGTGATCGTGCATACACGTGACTGCACGAGCTCTCAGACAGGTGTTGTGACATGGCTGACATCTGAAAGGTACGTTTTTCCTTATTTTCATTAATACTAGCTGTACGAACAAACCTGAACTCACTGGTGAATCAACCTCGGTATGTATTTATATTTATGTGACGTCACACAGTTTCCCGTTGTTGTTATAAGTGAGTTTCTGGAGATTTTCTGTTAGTCGTGATTTATCTATCTGACGTCATTGGCTTTCAGCTCCATTCAACTCGATCTCGACATATAATTCTAAATAACCAATGTTTGTCCTTTATTGTCCAGCATTGTTCCTTTGACTAGGAAATACGTGCGTAAACTGCTTATCTCATATACAGCGTAACATATATACCTACTCCTTTATACTCAACACTGGCTAAGTGAACAGGGGAACCCTGATCCTCAATCATAAACAAAGCGGTTCAATATTACCATCTCAACACTGGCCAAGTGAACAGAGGTACCGTGATCCTCAATCATAAACAAACCGGTTCAATATTACCATCTCAACACTGGCTAAGTGACAGAGGTACCGTGATCCTCAATCATAAACAAACCGGTTCAATATTATCATTCTCAACACTGGCCAAGTGAACAGAGGTACCGCGATCCTCAATCATAAACAAACCTGATCAATATTACCATCTCAACACTTGCCAAGTGAACAGAGGTACCGTAATCCTCAATCATAAACAAACCTGATCAATATTACCATCTCAACACTTGCCAAGTGAACAGAGGTACCGGGATCCTCAATCATAAACAAACCTGATCAATATTACCATCTCAACACTTGCCAAGTGAACAGAGGTACCCTGATCCTCAATCATAAACAAATCGGTTCAATATTATCATTCTCGACACTGGCTAAGTGAACAGGGGAACCCTGCTCCTCAATCATAAACAAACCGGTTCACTATTATCATTCTCAACACTGGCCAAGTGAACAGAGGGACCGTGATCCTCAATCATAGACAAAGCGGTTCAATATTATCATTCTCAACACTGGCTAAGTGAACAGAGGTACCGTGATCCTCAATCATAAACAAAGCGGTTCAATATTATCATTCTCAACACTGGCTAAGTGAACAGGTGAACCCTGATCCTCAATCATAAACAAACCGGTTCAATATTATCATTCTCAGACAGACACTATTTTTTCACATTATTTTTAATCAGCAATGCTTAAATATTTCACATAAATAGTGCAGAAAAATAATCGGTAAAAACAAGAAAAAGCAAAGACAAGTAATAATGTCAGGACATTTTTCTCATGTCAAGATTTTGCAGTACTTGTCGAAAGTTGAAATCCCAGATGAATCAATATTTGAATTTCTCCAAGGTTATCTTCATTCATGACGATCTTATGAACCAAATTATAATTCAATGTGTTGTTACATTGAATATGTCCATGCATAAATCTAGATTTCTAAAAATAATGATATTCAACCTTTTGTTCAATTCGAATACTGTTATTATTATTGTTATTATTATTTCCTTTATTTCCTCCAGAAATGAAGAGTTACAGAAATAACGACCAATACGCGTACAATTCAACACTATTGAAAGAGAAGAAAATGCATTCACAATCATGGTCACACCCTTACATAGTGACACACACATGCACATAGACAAACACATAAGAGAATAATAATAGTACACACATCAAACCATAAATTACTATAAACACAACACAATGATATAATAGGTACTATTACAGTCAGTATACGGTGATAATTATGATGATAGACAGTATAACACTAATCATACATTACATCACACATTGATATAATAGACATATTTACACTCCTCAAACTACATTATCTTATAACAGTATAGACAGTAATAAACTTCTCGTACTAAGCAATCATACAACATTGTAATAAACAGTATTACAAGCATCACACTATAAATTATACAACATTATTATAGACAGTATTACTCTTACATAAGTCTTACAATACAATCATACATTGAGTAGAACCTGATGCACGAAGTTATACAATATAGTCATACAGTGGTGTGAAATACACAACATACAATATAATAATTAACTTGAAGAAACAGAGCAACTATGCAATGATTTCAGTTGTAGTAATACATATCACAAGATTAATTCATACAATACAAACAATATTATGAATGGTAGTAAGTTACACTAATCATGCAGCCAAATTGTGCAATGGTTTAACAGGAAAGACGCAGGAAATGCTTGCCTACTAATATAAATACAAAATATATGTATTTCATGTATTAATCTTGCTGAAGTGTGAGGTACACACAAGTAAATTTGTGATCACATACATATAACTCAGTATACAACATTCAAATATCTTAGGATAAATTACATAATGCCACTGTATTGAAGTAAACATTGTTCAACTCTAGCTCCGATCTAGTGGAGGGGGATGGGGGCTGGCGCTTCCCCCTCGCCCTCCCTCTCGCCCTCCCTCTCTGTGGCTTTGTCCTTAAACGTAGTTTGCGCCTCCCATAATTCCAAATCCTGGATCTTCACCTTAAGACTACCTGATAGATTGAAAATATTATTGTATCGCGTTAAATATAGCAAATGTCTCTAAGATTGATAGGTACCACTTTAATTGACTGTTGTACTTAGACTTTAATTAAATACATGTAGATATTAAAATTGACAGAAATTTAAGATTAAGATGTAAGGAAATGTAACAGCAACAAGAGTATATTGATGCATATAATAAATGATGTTTTCATGATTTTTAAGCCGCTCTTGGCGAGAGCCGAGCGGCTTATTAATTCTGTTCAGAGAACGAAATGACGGACCAACTTCCGTCCGGGGTGCGTGCGCATAATTCAGTATTGCATGCTTCCGCTATATAGTTTCGTTATCGTAAATAGAAAGTAGAATCTCTGACACTCACCTGTGGGTTACATACAGTCTTCTGATACTCTTTTCCAAATAATAATCCATACTTTAAATAATTGCTGAAAACAAAATGTTTATCTCCGGTGCATTCTACGCGTGTTGTGGTGGTGTATTAGCAACTCGGATTGCGGTCTGGGGAGTGTTACGCATGTGAAACACATATGATTCGAGAAAGCACATGTGAAGACTGTCAAGCATTGACGCTGGTTGTAGAAGGAAGAAGTAAATATATAAACTTATAAACCGTATGAGTGATGAAGTATAACCTCTATTTTGATTTTTGAAACGGGAACGTTGGGCCATATCGTGCTTAGGTTGATAACGGTAGACTAATGGCTCCGAGACGAGACGATATGTGAACTGTGTATGCTTATCAAACACTTTTGTAACACAGCATGCTATTTCTGGTGTATTTATTTATGAAAGTGTAACAATTTAAGAACATGACACAACTGCCGCTGCTGTTTGACAAGAATAAGGGAAATAACTCTTGCGTTGGTAAAGACGCATTGGGAAATATAATTCAAATGTATTCCAAGAACATTTGTGAGATTTTGTATATTCTATGACGGTAAATATAGTCGCTACAAATATTAATAATTTTCACTAATATGAATAAAAAATTAATAAAAATAAAAGGAGTACAATGTCTCTTTTCTCCATGCATGTTTTCCACTACTGTTAATTATTCTTCATTTCACAAGCAAAAAATGCACCTATTCTTTATTATCCATATTCACCGATTGCCATTCTGCACGTAAACGCTCATGTCACAGCATTGGAGGATGCTAATTAATGAAAATTACAACAATGCGTCACACTTAAAGAGGGTGAAAAAAGAGGAGAGGGAGAAATGTTTTTAAAGGCATCATTTAAGAGGTGATTGATTTTGAAAATCCTAAACGCAACATCATCACATGACCTGATTTTCAATTAGCAGAATACAGAACACATATCTGAGTTATTATAGTAGATTTTTATGCTCAACGTATCACTGAAGCAATTAAATTTCAAGTGGTGAGCGGCTGTAATGTCACACTGACATAATTCTAGTTTTGATTTGATATTGAATAAAAACATTCTGTGTTTGGATGTTTAGCAACCCATAGGAAAATATCTTGTGACCAGAACATTCGTATGTTATTCTTTTTGTTAACTCATAGAATACGGCACAATCCAGTATATAAAAAAATCCATACATTCATACTAATTCTCGCTTACCTCCCTTAGACCAGATTGGTATATTTATGTGATTTTTTTCTTTTTTAATTAGACCTTTTGCTTTTGTTTAACTAATAATTTGATCATATCAAATTTCCACATCTGAACAGTGAACACATAATCCGATAAAGCTAGACAAGTCAAAGATTACGTGACAAAGGTCAAGTCCTTCACATGCTAGGCAGAAGTGACTCGTTCACGTTAGCTCTGATTGGCATACTTTGATGGGATGGACTTAATAGTAATATATGTAATGCCTGTTTTGTAGATATTTTTCATTAAATTTTATACTGTGTGTGATATTTAATGGTATACTTATTATTACTGTTGGTACTTCATATTGCTGTACACGAGTACAACACATGTTAGCGATGTTTGCATCAATAAACGAACTTGTTTGTGTCATTATTTTGAATGGAATGATAACTGAAACTTGAACTAAACCACTGAAATAAAGCTTCTAATATTACTCTCAACCCATCAGTTTAGGACGAAACAAAGCTACACTGTAAGAAATGTTCAGGTCCCTGTGATGGACACGCGTATCATGTCACACTGGTATTAATGATTGTATTACAATATATTATAGACATGGCCCGCTACTAGCTTTATCTAAGGATCCCATCCTTTGACCAAATACTTACCCTACTTGGTATATATGACGTAATACTAACCATACCTGGTATATGTGACGTATTACTAACCCTACCTGGTATATGTGATGTAATACTAACCCTACCCGGTATAATGACGTAATAGTTACCCCACCTTGTATGCATGAGGTAATACTTGCCATACTCAACATATATGAAGAAATACTAACCCTACCTGGTATACATGACTTAATACTTACCATACCTGGTATACATGACGTTATACTAACCCTACCTGGTACACATGACGTTATACTAACCCTACCTGGCATTCATGACGTAATACTTACGATACCTGGTAAACATGATGTTATACTAACCCTACCTGACAGTTATGACGTAATACGTATCATACCTGGTAAACATGACGTTATACTTACCATGTTTGGTAAACATGACTTAATACTTACCATCCCTGGTATACATGAAGTTATACTTACCATACCTGGTATACATGAAGTTATACTTATCATTCCTGGAATACATGACGGAATACTTACCATACCTGGTATACATGAAGTTATACTTACCATACCTGGTATACATGACGTTATACTAACCCTACCTGGTATATATGACATGATACATACAATACCTGACAGTCATGACGTAATACTTACCATACCTGGTATACATGACTTAATACTAACCATACCTGGTACACATGACGTTATACTAACCCTACCTGGCATTCATGACGTAATACTTACGATACCTGGTAAACATGATGTTATACTAACCCTACCTGACAGTTATGACGTAATACGTATCATACCTGGTAAACATGACGTTATACTAACCCTACCTGACAGTCATGACGTAATACTTACCATACCTGGTATACATGACTAAATACTTACCATACCTGGTAAACATGACGGTATACTTACCATGTTTGGTAAACATGACTTAATACTTACCATACCTGGTATACATGAAGTTATACTTATCATACCTAGTATACATGACGGAATACTTACCATACCTGGTATACATGACGTTATACTAACCCTACTTGGTATATATGACAGGATACATACCATACCTGACAGTCATGACGTAATACTTACCATACCTGGTATACATGACGTAATACTTACCATACCTGATATACATGACTTAATACTAACCATACCTGGTACACATGACTAAATACTTACCATACCTGGTACACATGACTAAATACTTACCATACCTGATATACATGACTTAATACTTACCATATCTGGTACACATGACTAAATACTTACCATACCTGGTATACATGTCGTAATATTTAACATACATAAATACTGTATTTACATATGACTTAATACTTACCATGCCTGACACATAAATGGCGTAATACCTACCACTCCTGGTATTTGGGTTGAAGGGTGGCGCAGGGCATAGCACACTTGCCTTTCACCAAGGAGGTCGGAGTTCGATTCCCCGATTGGACATGAAAAGGTCACCTGCCCGACCACATGGGCTTTCTCCGGGTACTCCGGTTTCCTCCCACATTAAGGACTTCTGCGCCCTAACATCCGGTTCAATAAGAGTGATTGATATGAGTTGAATACATTGTTTCAAATTTGTTGTAAAGTAAATAAAATTTATGTTTTTATGTTTTTTACTTGTCCTACCTTGTATATATGTCGTAGTACTAACCCTACTTTGTAATGACGTAATATTATCCCTACCTGGTATATATGTCGTAGTACTAACCCTACTTTGTAATGACGTTATATTATCCCTACCTTGTATATATGTCGTAGTACTAACCCTACTTTGTAATGACGTAATACTATCCCTACCTTGTATATATGTCGAAGTACTAACCCTACTTTGTAATGATGTAATACTATCCCTACCTTGTATATATGTCGTAGCACTAACCCTACTTAGTAATGACGTAATACTATCCCTACCTTGTATATATGTCGAAGTACTAACCCTACTTTGTAATGATGTAATACTATCCCTACCTTGTATATATGTCGTAGTACTAACCCTACTTAGTAATGACGTAATACTATCCCTACCTTGTANAACCAATTACTTTTATATAAAGTAAATAAAGTAGAGGTGTAATAAATGTCGTTGTACTAACCCTACTTTGTAATGACGTAATATTATCCCTTCCTTGTATATATGTCGTACGACTAACTTTACTTTGTAATGACGTAATACTATCCCTACCTTGTACACATGTTTTAGTACTTACCCTACTTTAGGACTATATACTAACATTTTTTATACTTCTAGTTCGGTCCTGTCATAACCTGAGTGGCAAATCATTCTTAACATTTAAAGAAAAAAACCTTGAATCTATAAATATGATCTGAAATGTGTTTACGCTATGTCATAACGTTATCGAGATGATATAAACAACTATGTATAGCTAAGAAACGTTATTTTGTTGAGCTGGTGTATATAGGGTGTCCGTATACATATACTTTGTTTCACTTTATTGCAGAGATATTCAGTCAAGTAAAAGGCAGTCATATGACTACAGATCAGTCCAGAGGGGAAATCCGAAGAACTAAACAGCCATGAGTGTACTTGAGGGGTTGACGTTCCGTACAAACATACTGGATGAATTAGGAATCAAACAAAACCTGTTCGGTGTGCTGTTCACCTTCACGGTTGTGTTACTACTTACCAGGCTGTTACAGCTTTACTTCCTCGCCCAATGGAAGCCAAGGAAAAACCTGCCCCCAGGCCCTCGGGGTTACCCCATCATCGGAGACCTACTGTTTTTCAGCAAGCACGGGTCACTGCAGAGCTTCCGTAAGTTACGACAGCAGTACGGCGATATATACAGTATCCGTATGGGGATGTGGCCAACAGTGGTCATCAGCGGTAAGGACGCCTTCAAAGCGGCGCTTTGTATGGAAGAGTTCGCGGACAGGCCTTTATTTTTCATCAATAGACTCATAGGGGGCGCTAAAGGTCTAGTGTTCGGCAAGTACAACTCCCGTTGGGTCTTGCATCGCAAAATCGCCGGAAACGCCTTGAAGATGTTCACTGGAACGAGGAACAACCCTATAACTGAGATGGTACAGGAACAGGCCGAGAACCTTGTCAATGAATTCCTCGAGCACAACGGTGAACCGTTTGACCCAAATGAAGGTATATCATTTTCAGTCGGAAGCGTCATCTACCAGGTTGTGTATGGGAGAGGGAAATTAGCAAGGGAGGATAAACAACTATCCTACCTCATTCGAAATTTCAACGATTTCAAAACCTTCGTCAGAGTCGGAAATCCCTTCGATGTGATGCCTTTCATGGCATTCCTTACTCCATGGAAGTATAAAGGGATATTAAGCATCCTGTTCAGAATGGGAATGTTAGCCGCTAAAAAAATAAAACGGCACAAGAAAAGCTATGACCCTGACCATCTCCGAGACGCTACAGATGGTCTACTGCATGCGACCTACACGTACTCAGCAGAAGACAAACAAAAAGTGGGTCTCACCAACAAGATGCTCATGGAAACGCTACATGATTATATCGGGGCTGGGTTTGACACCGTGGCCTCAACTCTGATATGGGGTTTTATGTATCTGGCTGAAAGCACGGAAGTACAATCCAAAGCGCGTGCCGAGATAGACAATGTACTAGGAAGCCGAACTGTAACGATACAAGATCGCGCTAAACTCCCGTACGTAGAAGCACTGATGCTAGAGGTGCTCCGAACAGCAGCAACCCTACCAATGGCTATTCCGCACTGCACAACACGTGACATCAAGTTCCGGGATTATGTTATACCCAAAAACACTGCGGTTTTCTTCGACGTATACGGTACCTCATTTGATGTCGATCTCTGGGACAACCCCGACGATTTCAACCCCGAAAGGTTCCTGAATAAGGACGGCAAACTGGATCAGGCTAAGGTCGACCTTACAGTGTCATTCGGGTTTGGAAAGCGGAGATGTATCGGTGAAAGCCTGGCCCGACTAGAGGTATTTCTCTTTCTCGTTAACGTTCTCCAGAGATGTGAGCTGTACAAACCGGAAGGCCATCTTTACGACAAGGACGGGTATTTCTCATTCGTTCGGTCGCCTGAACCATTCAAGCTGATAGCGAGGCCCACAATGTGACGGTTGGATACCCAAAACAGATCAATTGTCTGAAATATATGGGTAAAAGTTAGTCTTCCTAACATTTATAATTAGAAAAGTTTTTTTTCTTAAGCGTGGCAGTTGCTTTGATACCAAGCATACATGTGTATACCACCAGGTAAATATACCTAACTATTAATTACCGTACCGAAATCTTGACATCAGGGCCCAGTTGTTCATATTGTGATTAGCTTAACGTCAATAAAAAATTTCAACTACAATATTTTCAAAAAGTTTGAAATTAAAAACTAAAGTTTTATGTATAAGGGTTATAAATGATCATCTTATGACAACAAATACATACCTATTTGCAATGTTTTACAAAGTTCTCAAAAATCTATTTTCAAAATTGACGTTAATAAGTCCTTAAGGTTACCAGGCGTTCAACAGCCGGACCCAGCGGTATAGCTCTACGACGTTAGTAGTACCTAGTCTCTGTTATCAATGGGGCCATTTAGAGTTGGAGCACGTTACATTGTAGCACTAGGACGCCATCTTGTATCGTATATGAGTATCCTCGTATTAATTGACGCTATGGTGTTAATTAATCTTTGCTATCATCAAAAGATAGTACTAAGGATAAGCATGTGTGCTCGTTTCAGTCTGATTTACATAGATTTCCGTGATATGGAACGTTACGTTACGTCACGTGCAGTTGAATGTTGGTGATTTCTGCTGCAACGTTAGTTTTGATAGCACCGTTCCGTTGAGTATATACCACTTACTGGCATAACATTATTAGACATGGTCTGGTTGATAAACTATAGTATACTTTCTTAAAATAAAGAAAAGAAAATCACTATAATCAAACTTTTATTAAAGAGAACATTTTGTTTTCAAGTCTCAACCTTCACAATCGTCAATTCAGTGTGTTTGTGCATAGTTTGTATTAAAGCATATTTTTCTGGGCATAGTTTCTGAGCACTTTGTAAGGAGCATCAAAACACTTGAATAAAAATGAAGTTTCGAATTTAATTGCTTGGACTCATTTTAATCTTTGAGATTCAAATATGCAAAATGGTTTTGATGTTGGTTCCGGTGGCGCTATGGCGTCATTCCTTGGAAAGAAGTCACTTGTCTTCCACAAGACCTCTTCCCAGCACACTGCCGGGTAGATCGGTAACGATTTAAATAACGTCTTACTCAAGGACACTATCTCTCCTGCATTATGGCGACTAGCAGAGAATTCAGAATAATATACTCTCCCCAAGGCAAAAACGAAGTTTATGAAAAATACCGGGGTTATACAAAAATTGATGTCGCCTGCATTGTGTATTACTGAGGTATTTTTATGACATCTCCTACAGCTTGGTGTAACCGGGCTGGTGCGTTAATGAGCTCGAGATTGGCGTGACGTCAGATGGAGCTCGGGGTTACATCCGGCTGTATGTGACCTATACTAGAGATTGGTGTGACGTCAGTTGAAGCTCGGGGTTACATCCGGCTGTATGTGACCTATACTAGAGATTGGTATGACGTCAGTTGAAGCTCGGGGTTACATCCGGCTGCATGTGACCTATACTAGAGATTGGTGTGACGTCAGTTGAAGCTCGTGGTTACATCCGGCTGTATGTGACCTATACTAGGGATTGGTGTTTTCTTCATTTTGTTTCTACATATATTTAGACTTCTGTCATCTCCTATCGTATGGTTCTCTGTCACCTCTAGGACATGACAGATAACATGTGAAAAGGAACAATAATATGACGTCTCAATTAGCGTTGACTTTAATTGCCATATCCTCACGATAGGGAAAGGTTTTAGTAGTTACCAGCATTGTGAACAAACGAGGGTATTGTGATGCAATTAAAGCTTGGTATAACCGGCATAGTGTATTACTGGGGGTTTAAGGGGCGGGGGTCAACATAGAAAGGGCACTTAGACTTGGGCGAGTCGTCATCCCGGGCATACGGTACGATAACGCAGTGAAGGTAAGACGAAGGTAGAGCTGCATACACCAGGACAGTGTCCAACATGCATAGCTGGTTTCTTCTAAAGTGTAACCAAACGTTAACTTAGTTTCTCAACTTCTATTGATAGTTCTGCTAAGTAGTATCAATTTAGACTGTGACATGTGTTCTATCTGTATCATAAATGTGCCAGATAATGCCATCTTTGCAAGGAGTAAGATTTGGAAGCGTCTATACACTGTTAAAATAATTATTAAAAATATTTAAACATTGACTCGTGCAAGAGCATGACCTCCCTCGCTCGCCATCTTGCATTATATCCGACTGATCACGTGGTCACTTCGGTAGATGTCGGTTGTATTGCAAACGTCTCGTGAGCGTGGTAAAAAGGGGTAGACTTATGGTGATATCTTTGGTATAGAGTAATCTTTACTTCTCAGAGTTTTGTTTTAATGTGTTCTTCATAAGTTCGATTGCTTTTTTGTACTTTAAGTTCATTTAATGTCGGCATATGTGTCTTTAAACTACCAACCGTTTAATCACAGGTCCTCGTGAAACGAAATAGTCAGATATTTGACTTCAATTGGACCGCTGTGGGGGCTTTATTGCATCATAAAATCAACCAATACATATTTTATGTAAGTGTCACCCATCACATTGTATGTAACAGATAAATATAGAAACATACATTGCTGACAAAAGGCATTATTAGAATTACAACTCCGGATTAGAATTGATCTTAAAGCCCAGATGCAGTCGGCTTATTAGACACTTGATAATTATTTACATCATTTGCACAATAAAAGGTTATATAGTGATGAATAGTATTTTGACGTCTATACAGTGTACTTATATACAATATAGTTGGTATTTTGACGTCTATACAGTGTACTTATATACAATATAGCTGGTATTTTGACGTCTATACAGTGTACTTCTATACAATATAGTTGGTATTTTGACGTCTATACAGTGTACTTATATATACAATATAGTTGGTATTTTGACGTCTATACAGTGTACTTATATATACAATATATTTGGTATTTTGACGTCTATACAGTGTACTTATATATACAATATATTTGGTATTTTGACGTCTATACAGTGTACTTATATACAATATAGTTGGTATTTTGACGTCTATACAGTGTACTTATATACAATATAGTTGGTATTTTGACGTCTATACAGTGTACTTATATACAATATAGTTGGTATTTTGACGTCTATACAGTGTACTTATATACAATATAGTTGGTATTTTGACGTCTATACAGTGTACTTATATACAATATAGTTGGTATTTTGACGTCTATACAGTGTACTTATATACAATATAGTTGGTATTTTGACGTCTATACAGTGTACTTATATACAATATAGTTGGTATTTTGACGTCTATACAGTGTACTTATATACAATATAGTTGGTATTTTGACGTCTATACAGTGTACTTATATACAATATAGTTGGTATTTTGACGTCTATACAGTGTACTTATATACAATATAGTTGGTATTTTGACGTCTATACAGTGTACTTATATACAATATAGTTGGTATTTTGACGTCTATACAGTGTACTTATATACAATATAGTTGGTATTTTGACGTCTATACAGTGTACTTATATACAATATAGTTGGTATTTTGACGTCTATACAGTGTACTTATATACAATATAGTTGGTATTTTGACGTCTATACAGTGTACTTATATACAATATAGTTGGTATTTTGACGTCTATACAGTGTACTTATATACAATATAGTTGGTATTTTGACGTCTATACAGTGTACTTATATACAATATAGTTGGTATTTTGACGTCTATACAGTGTACTTATATACAATATAGTTGGTATTTTGACGTCTATACAGTGTACTTATATACAATATAGTTGGTATTTTGACGTCTATACAGTGTACTTATATACAATATAGTTGGTATTTTGACGTCTATACAGTGTACTTATATACAATATAGTTGGTATTTTGACGTCTATACAGTGTACTTATATACAATATAGTTGGTATTTTGACGTCTATACAGTGTACTTATATACAATATAGTTGGTATTTTGACGTCTATACAGTGTACTTATATACAATATAGTTGGTATTTTGACGTCTGTACAGTGTACTTATATACAATATAGTTGGTATTTTGACGTCTATACAGTGTACTTATATATACAATATAGTTGGTATTTTGACGTCTGTACAGTGTACATATATACAATATAGTTGGTATTTTGACGTCTGTACAGTGTACATATATACAATATAGTTAGCAACTGCGCAGGTTAACAGTGTAAAACATTAGATTGCATTAATTATAAAAGTTATAGACTATCAAGACTATTAAAAGTATTGTTATATGGTATAATATTAACGTTGAAGATGTTCTTCATTTCCCACTGAGTTCAGACAGACCGGACAGGTCTATTGATGTAATAGACAGTGTAAGCCTATATGCAATGTACGGGTGATAAAGGTGAAATATTTGACACCACACCATAACAAAAGTTTTAAAAAACTTTCCATTTTGAAACTGTATCAACAAACTTAGATCATAACTTCTTCAATAAGATTCATCAGTTTGGAATTATGTGATATCAAAGTTTTACTTTTTAGTCATAGCTTGCCAAGGGACCAGTCGGTCTTGAAACGTTGCGACACGTTTAATACGTACATTGTTTGTGTAAAAAGTAAAACTTTGATATCATAGAGCATAATCTGTTTCGATTTTGAGGGGGTTTATTTTAAATGGTATGAAGTGGAATTCGACCTGAACTTTAAGTTATATTAAGCATACTGGATCAAACTGCAGGCAATACAGATTGCATGCTTAGTCAGGACGCCTTCAGAAACGATGGCAGTCATTTAGATTTATATATGTATTGCCGAACACGATGGCATTACAGAAGAAACTATAACATTCCCCCGGCCAGGAATTTACCACGTCAAATGAAAATTAATCCTTAATGGGTTTTTATATGGTCAATATTACCCCCACTGTTTCAATGTACTTGCATAAATATTTATATTATACCGAAGTAAGTATTATAAGGATTTGAAGTGTATATTTGATTTGGTTAACAAATACATACAAAATACATTTATCGCTGACGTAGATTTAAAGGTATTGTGAAGATAATCAGCTCTCAGCACACGTACAAATCTTTATCGCCCCACAGATTACGGTTGTCGTTTGGTGAAGCTCAGAGTGTACTTTTCTCTATCGTTGTGAATTTGTTTAAGTGGACTTGAATGCAGTGCGCGGAAATACCGTTATTTCAAAACTAATAGAAAATAAATTTGTTCATTTCAGTGTTGACATAGCTGTCCATTGTTATCCTAACCCGCCTTCCTGGGATATCGACCAGCTGATTCAAACCTCTTTATACCAATACCACGTCTACTCGTAGGTAATTTAACTTAAATGTCACTGCTTTTGAAATTTAGCTTCACACTTTGTCGATTAGGATATAAATGAACAAATAAATCCCCATTCTGCTGTAGAATCCCACATTTAAAACTCAATTCTCCGTTCACCTTTCCCGTTCTTTGGCAAATGGACAAGTTCTGTGATTAATCTTGTAGGCTAGCAGGTGTCGCTTGGCAACTTCCTGTCGTATTAAGGGTTTACCTGTGTACTACTGGCTTACCCGAGTGCCGTTTATACCCTTATGTTATATTTATGAAAACTGTCCCTGGTACTAATTGAGAACTGTGTGGCGGTATTTGGACTTTAAGACAGACCTAACTGTGTACATACTTGACCCTCGATAGCCAGCAGACATGGATATGGTCCATCCCCGGCCAGCCTCATCCGAGTAAGTACATGGCTCCATGTCACCAACTACGGTGTTTTATAAATTAATTACAGGTATGGCATTGATGGAAGCGTGCTCTATATTCCCAAAATAGTTACACAATATTGATTATCTACAAGTATCTTCTCTGACCGTAGTAAATCTCATTCATGGGAGTAAAGCTTTGCAAGTTGTAGTGTGAAATATGTTTCGGGTTTAAGCTTACCATGTTGT